CTCGAAGAACAAGCTGATCAAACAGCGTATGACCACGAACCCATACCCATACAGGCGAATAGAACCAAGCGACATGATGCTTTTATGTGCAATTCATGGAAACCCGTTTTTTGTTGCACACTATTTAGTTAGTTAAGCTTTGATTTTTTACGACTATCTCCTACTAGAAGACGAGTCCGCTTCCTGGACAACTGGACTGGGTTTTCCATGTGACGCCGGTATCACAGAGCGAGTTTGGATCTAGGCGTTCGGTGTTCGATATAATGTTGTTTGCTCGAGTTCTGAGTTGTATCCAGCGAGCTGTAGAAGAAGCATGCGAATGCAATATGAGATGGCTTCCCCAGTACCATTCGGCCTTTTTATTTGAGGGTGCACCTTTGATCCTTGCACAACCAGGTACGAACTGCAAGGCATAGTAAAGTAAAGCATGGTAATGTATTGCTTGAGCTCTTCAAACCCTACACCTAACCCAGTTAAGCCTGTCTGACGTCCACTGAGGAGCAGTTTTTGGAGCCACTAAGGAGAACGCAGTGTTAGACGGAGAGCAAATCTGGAGAATCCGGGGAAACGACAATTTAGAACACGTAGAGGGATAAGGTTCATCGACAAAGGGACTTAACGTTGAACTTTGGGAACCGGCAACGCAGACCTTGGGGCTTCGAGAGACAAACCGTATAAGGTCCCAATAGGATGGACATGGTGTTCAGTAGTACAAAAGTGAAGCCATCTGCTAAGTACCGAGCAAACAGAGCTTATTTGATCAAATTGGATGATTATTGCGGGGTTTCATGACACAAAAATCGACCAGTATGTTAAATAATAAAAAAAAACAATAAAGAAAGGCGAATGGGTAAAACATTACACACATACCCAAACTCCTGGGTTTTGAACACTTGACCTCGTGCCAACCGTTCAGATAGGATTTCCTGTCTGACTGACGCTCGCTCCAAAGTTGGATAATTGCTGTTAGGGAGAAGAGAATTAAAAACCAACTGTTTTAAGTTTTTACTTTCATTTTTTAGCATTGTACAACTGCTTTCAAGTTGTCTCTAAGAGTTAAAACGATGTAAACCGAAAAACAGCCGAGACCGGAGCAGGAACTTTGCAGTTTGTATCCCCAAAAAAATTCATAATGGTATTGGATATCTGGATTACTTGAGTGCATTATTACGTAAGGGAAACACAGCTGTGTACTATCAGGAAGGTCCATGTAATGTGCACAGGAGAATAACTTCCCTGAGGGTGCATTGCGAACAAGTTGTGGTTTGTTGCGAACAAACATCCACAGCACTAGTGGGGTTACTGGTTTAGGCTGGTTTCTTGGTTCGCAACAGAGATCCTGTAGGTTCATCATCACCGTACAGCGAGATACAGTGAAGAGAACTTCACTGATCGCAGACAGCGTCGTGACAAAGGCTGATGTAGAGGGCCTGTAAAAGCTGCAGTCGAACTAACCATCACTTGCGAGGGTCACCGGTTTTTGGGCCATCTCACTGCCCAATGAGCTATGGACGGCCAGCATCCTTGAAATGCGGATTCGCTAACTTATAGATTGGACTATAATTACCTGCATGCTAACGGTGGAATTCCCCTTCCTCAAGTATTCTGATCACACATTTCGATGCACGCGGCAGAACTTCCAATATCGCTGTACCGCCGTAATTCCCAAACTGTGTAGGATATCTTAAAATAAACAGTATCATATTAAATGGATTCATCGGGCTGCGGCTTCGTTCGACTATTGTGATAAGAATGGACAGTGGCAATAAAACCTACCCATGGGTGTAGGGTACGCGTGCGCCGTACTGGTCACGTGTTCTGTTAAATCCTGAAAACCATTTGGTGCGCTAAACTTCACAACTTCTATTGAGATGTATACAAATTTGTGATTATTCTTGACGTCTGATGTCGTGGCTTTGAGGTATAAGTTATTTGGGGTACCTTCGATCATAGAATTCGACTGAATATCACGAGTGAGTGGACAAAACTGATTGAAAGACAGCCCGTAAATTTAAAACAGCAAAATCGACTTTACATTATTCAATAGCATAGAAAAACAAAACGGGAAGTAACTTTGCGAAGTAAGTGGAACAGTTTTGACGTTTTGAGTGGTGAGACATGCAGTATTGGAGTAAAATAGTCTTGAAATTTAGCTGAACTGAATCAATCCGAAGCCTAGATCCTGGAGGACTGATCACTTTTCCGCGAACCTCCATTTCGAAAGATAAATAGATTCTATCTGTATGAGAGAATATTTCCTGGCTGTAACTAACATTCAGCTAGCATAACAATCGAGCGCACCGCCATAAAGTACTAGATAAGCATTCAACAAAACCATTACAAATGCCAATTTGGAAACCGGATAACAAAAAATCCAATGTAACACCCTCCGGGGTGCCAGCGAGAATAAAACAGGAAAACGACAGACGTAACATGATGAGCTTATTTGGAAGTTGATTTTTCGTATCGATACCATCAGCAGTCTAATTGGCATTACTGGTTCCCGAAAATTTCATCGGTATTTCAGAGTATACGACTTTACCGTAAAACTAGTAGGTATCTGTGACCAAACTCCAGGCTCTCGATAAACTTATTTATATTATTTGCGTTCGGAGAAATTATTTGATGAAGATCTAAAATGTAGAAGAAGCGAATTCATCAACTGCAAGCTTCATTTTTATTAAGACCACATAGGTCATGCAAGACGTTACATCGGTATCTTTTGGTTAGATTCATTATGACCGAGCTCCTTCCAAAATGTGTTCTAATGACTCTCGTTTAGAACTTCCGTCCAAGGGACCGCTTGCTCACGGACCTCGCGAACCGAGTGCCACCAGTGAAGTGAGGTGATGAGTGGTCGAATTCAAGGGACAAAGTGAAGCTAACGAGCGACCAAGTTTTCATCACAAGCTATTGTGCGAGGAACGGCAAGAGCGGTAAACCTAATATTTACGAAGACCCATTGTTTTCTTACTGTAACCAGTATCTTGAGCCCTTAGACTTGGATTGGAAAACCAAATAAGGCTCCAATAGAATAGGTGTGGTACTGAATGGAATAATGGCTCTCAACTATTTAACTTGCGATGAGTGATACACGAACAGAACAAATTTTTTAAACATTTACAAGAAAAGCTAGTAAATTCTTAGACACCTAAATTTATTAAACAGAAGGAATGAAAGTCGTGGTCACGTGGACCGATTGACCAATAGCGGAAATGGGAAACCGAAAAATCATTATTTGGAGTGGCGAAACAGATAACACTTTGAAAGGATTGCCGCGATACTATCTTCTGGTAAAATGCATCCAATGAAAACAGACAAAATAAAGGAGCACGTCGGAAATTAATAATTTTTAGGCTGAAAGGTTCTTAAATGTTACATTGTTCGGATAGGATTGATTCAGTTTTTTTCAGTTTCAGTATTTACAACCGTTAACCATGCACTTTCGTGCGCCGGTTTTGGTTGCTATCTTCTGTCTGCCCATTTGGATAAAAGCTCGGGAGAGCAGAGCTGTATGCTACCGAGCGCATCCCTATGTCGCGTATAGGGGAATGGCCGTCATCTCTCGGCTGACCGTGAATAAGGTGGGTTTCGGCCCTCCGAATAAGCTGTCGCGGACGATTAGCGGTCGCGCCCGAGGATGTGGTGGGTTTATCTCCTGGCAAGGGTTTTCCACACAAAACACCACATACTTGTGGACAGCGCTGTGACGTGGCCCGTCACTAAATATGGTAATTGTCCCTTGCCGAGATCCATTGCCCGACAAAGTTTTCCAGAAGAGGCGAATGAACCACCGGCTCACCTGGAACATCGCTGCTGCCTTGCAGTCCACGCTTGGTTACGCAAAGGTTAGAGTGCACCTTCAAGCAAGACCTAATCAGGATCGGGCCACCGAGTAGCCCGCAGCGCACACACCCATGACCTGTCTTTCTCATTTTTATTTGGATAAAAGAGCAGAACGAAGACTGGAATGTTGAGAACCAATTCAAGCGGAATATAAGGAAGTCATATAGACTGATGTTCCAGGAATAGTGAATAGATGCATGAGCGCCACTGTTTAAGACACTCAGCCATATCGCCTAGTGTCTCTAACCACCATTGACAATGACCTTGGGATCGCCATCCAGGGAGCCTAAGGGGACCTATGTAACCCAGTCTCCTGGTTAGGGTTTTCATAACTTCATGCCAGGTCCTACTTTGACCACCCTTGACCTTCTCCCATCCGCTGCCTGCCTCGGTAAACATTGCTCGTCATGGCAACCTATTTGGTGACATGCGTAATACATACCCCCAATCAACGTAATCTATGGAGGTCAATCCCTTGCTCCAGTGGACGACCGCGATTACCTAAAACTCTATGCCTAACCTCATCATTCATCATGATCATCATCGTACAGCGAAGTACAGGAAGCGATATTGATTAAACTGATTCCTCAGTGGTTTGCACAAGAGGATTTGTCACCTTTCTTGTAAATCGGTATGATAATTGTTTCACACCATTCAGTTGGAACCGCTTCCCTATCCCACAATGAGCCCAGGAGTTTTGTTAACTCCAAAACCAAGGCTGAACCTCTATCCCTAAAAACCGATGGGGAGAGCCCTTCGGGGCCGGAAGCCTTATGCCGTTTGAGATAACTTATTTCCCGGGTAACCTCTATTTCAGATGGAGGACTGATGTCAACTGATAGTATGTAAGCAGTTGAAGCGGGTAGGGGTCTTGTGTCGACGAGGACTAGCTGAACTGTGCCTTAAAAGGTTCTGCCCACAGATCAAGGCGGCGTTTCTGAATATGAATCAGTGTGCCGTCAGACTCTAGGATTGATTCATACCAGCAGGAACGGTGTTCAAAATAGCAGTTCGACTACAGCAAGCCACAATATTTATATATACATCTTAACAGCAGGACTGATAATCTATTTTAAATTAAAGAGTGCCCGCAAAGTACGTTTGGGCTGATCACGGCATACACTAAGGCATCATATTCAACAGTGTCGATGCACTCACCGTTTACGTGCTTCTCTCCACTGTGCGACCGAAGTGTCTGTGGTGGGACGAAATATCTTTTCAAAGTATCCCGAATCATGAACCTGAAACAAAGCCAATTAAACTCGCGCAACAGAAAATCAACCCATACCACTTCCTTATGTAACCGCATTGCGTTCGGATGTGCTACGAATGAACATCCTGCGACTGAACACTTTATGTTATCAAGTGGGTGAGAACAAACAGCACTCACTCCACTTACCGGAACATGCTCGGACAGGTGCGTGCTGTAGGCCGCATCCGTGTAGAATGCCTGATCACAACAAAGATGCTTCGGTTCATAGTAGCTTCGATCTTCGATTGCAAACCCGGCACCGAATAGGCCACCACAGCGACGAAATCGTTTTTTGCACGAGAAATTCTGAGCGATTCACAGAATATCAATGCTACACATACCTTTTGAACTTCATGTTGATCAATTTCCTCGAGAACAGATTCCAATTCTGACAGCTTTTTCGATGAATGCCAAAGTAAATCGAATGATGGTAAGTCCATTTTACAAAATCCTAACTAAATCGTGACGTAAAAATATCTGCACTGGTTCCAGAAGAGTGTGTACTGAAAAGTATAAAATGAACCAATTCAGGACCAGAGTACATGCTGACTTCACACCACTCACGACAAATCGAGAAAATATCGACGGACAAATATCATTAGTTGACAGTTGTTTTGCACACAGTGGGTCAATTTGTACTTTTTCTGCTGAGTACACAATCATTTGTATTGTGTACCTTATAGGAGTGAATAGTAGACGGGATGAAGTCCATGATCGCAAAAATGTACTTCTTGACGACGGAAACTAACCATTTAAGCCCTGGGGCTTCAGTGGTGGTCGACAAGTGGCAACAGTGGAGTCAAGTAAACATGCTAGTATTGATATCCAGAATAAACCACAGATTTCGTTTCTTGTGTTTAAATAGACTTTCAGGAAGCCACGACTGCTTGTGGGGTGTCAGGCTCCCGGGGTCCTCATCCAGGGCAACGGGACCTATTTAACCTAGTCGCTTGGTTAGGGCTTTCAAACCCTCATTCCATGAGCATCATAACCCTTATATGCAATTCAGGGTCTCGAACTCATCCAGGTAACTACCAGTATTGCTCTTTCCTATACTCTCAAAAGTAATGGGGAGTAGAATAGACAGGGGAATTAGAAGGTTCCCGAAAGCAGCCGACTTTAAGCTCTCGGCAACATGGCTTTAGAAAGGGACGTTTATATTTAACCAACCTACTACTTGCCATCGATGCCTGAACTAAAGCAGCTGATAGGGTCAGCGTAGACGCAGTCTTCTTAGACCTAAACAAGGCTTTCGACAAACTACCGCATCTTTAATTGAGCAAAAAGCTGGTTGATTATGGCATAACCAGAAACCTATTTAGATGGTCAAGAGAATATTTAACCGATTACAACTTTCAAATGGGAGTGAACAAGGAGTTCTTAACTCTCTACAGTACATAGCGGTGTGTCTAAAGGATCTACACTGGGGCCCTGCTATTCACAACCTACACCAAAGACCTACCAAAATCGTTGACAACAAGTCAAGTCAAGAGTGCACTTTATTCATGTAATGTGGACAGAATTATCAGTGAAAAAATGTTATCACTTTTGCTTTGGCCTACACGCTATTAAAATGAGTTCAAAAATATGACAAATAGTTATATTCCGAAATAATCCCATTGTAACATCAGTACACAAGTCCGAAGGCGAACAATTGTTTTCGAATGATTCATAATCGTGCCTGTACAGATCATATAAGGGTTTGTTGTTAGTGGGGACACATTTTCACGCTGGGTCAAAGGGTCATTTGGGATGAGGAGAGGAGAGGGGAGAGGTAAGCTCTGTGTGTCTGTGTTCGGGTGAGACTGATTGTGATTGGAGTGGTGGTGGTGATGTTGATGATCAATTTGGGGCCAGGGTAAGTGGAGAGCTTGAACCAGTCGCTTTTGTGCACATAGTTCTGGTGCGAATAGGCGAATGCCTATCGCCTCAGCGG